AAATTTATTATCTTATCATTAGCGTCATTCCTAACAGAACTGTTTTTTGAATTTTTGAATTGCGGGAAATTTCAAATTTTAAAACAAAATATTTGTTTTTATAAAAAACCTTCAGCGTTATTTTAGTATTAGTATTAGTATAAGTTTATGCTGTGACTGGTATTGCTACCAGTGAGTGTGTTTTTAAAGCACACTATGACAGCTGAGTCTTGTGATAGTTTGACTCCCATCGATCAAGTCTTGCTTCAAATGAGTTGACTGAGTTAGCTCAGTCAACTCATTTAAATCATTTGATCTATTTTTAATGAATCCATGCTGTTGATTAGCTATAATATTATTTTCATGAAGATATTTTTCAAACTATTTTTAATTATGCCTTGTAGTATTTTAAAAGTAATACATGGAAGTGATATAGGTCTATAATTTTCAGAATCAGTCTTGTCACCTTTTTTATATAGTGCAGTTATATTTGCTGAAGTTGACTTTTTTCTATTGACTCCATAAAAATAAGTGTTAGAGGAATAGCGAAAGCAGTAGCACAGTTTTTTAAGATAGATGAATTTAACTTATCGAATCCGTAGGCTTTGTTTTAATCAAGATTATTTAGCCTTTTAAGAGCGTCTTCATATTGGATATCTTTAGGAGTTAAATTAAAGGTAGTATCATTGATTCTTGTTTTGAATAATGGTGTGCATTTTTTATTTTCTTTGACAAAAAATGTTCTGTTTTTTCCTTATGAGTGAGATAAGTTCTTTGTTCAGGTATAGTTTCTTTGATGATCAACTTAAGGTATTTATAGGAACATATAAGTTACACGCTTCTTCAGTATAATGAATTAACTCATCATACATTTCTTGAACATTCTTGGTATGTAAACACTGAAACCAATAGACACTTGTAAGGAAATCATTAATGCTATTATAGTCTGCTTTTCTATATAATAATCTTTTTTTCCTCCGTATTTTTGTTCATTGTTTTATTTGTAAGAATAAAATCAAAGCACAATATCAAATGAGCCCTTGATATGTTTCCTAAAACAAATTTACTATCAATGACACTTATATTTGCTGACTGAGTAGTAAATATTAAATCTAAAATATTTACAGCAGATTTATTTGTTGTTTGAAATGTTGGTATGTTAACATGCTGATATAAGTAATTGTCGTTTATTATTTTATAAAAAACATGCTCAATTTCTGACGATTCTTTAATTGAATTTATTGAACCATTGGACCAACTTATTTCAGGAAAGTTAAAATCACCAACTATGATTAGATCTTTATAACCTTTTTGGTTGACATATTCTTTAGCAATTTTAAATACATTTTCAATATCAATAGATGTAGATTTTTTTTTAAAATCAAATTATTCCAATTCGGAGCGATTTGTTGTTTAATGTCAAACTTAAGTCAGTGTTAAACTTTAAAAAAAGTCTTGATGAACTTTATTATGTGAAATAAAATTTTAAATTATAGTTTTTAAATTTGCTGCAAAAGTAGATTACCACTCATTGAGCATTTGTTCACCGCAGCAATTAAATAAATAAATATATAATAGTTGCAACTTACAATCCTAAAATAATAACCATTACGGAAACATGGTTTAAACCTGCTTCTCTATGCAAATTAGATGGTTATTGTTTATATAAAAAAGATAGATGCAATGGTCGTCGAGGTGGAGGTGTATGTATTTATATTGACAGCAAAATTAATTCATACGAACTTAATAATATTTATAATATTTATTTATTTAATTGCTGCGGTGAACAAATGCTCAATGAGTGGTAATCTACTTTTGCAGCAAGTTAAAAAACTATAATTTAAAATTTTATTTCACATAATAAAGTTCATCAAGACTTTTTTTAAAGTTTAACACTGACTTATTAAGTTTGACATTAAACGACAAATTGCTAAGGTTATGTTTTATTCCGAATTGGAATAATTCGATTTAAAAAAAAAATCTACAGGTCTCAGAAGTATACCTATGATAGTTTAAATTTATCAAATTTGTTGTCAAGAGATGTGGCATTAAGGTACATGCAATTTAGTTTTTCAATGCTACTCATAGATAACAGACAATTAGCCTTACTGTCTAACTTCAATTGGTTTCTTTTTAAATTTTTGTATCTGATTTACACGGATACTATACTAAAAGGGATCCGTCTCTTTAAGGGCATTATTCAGTTTATTTTGCTCTGTTCTGAGTATAAAATCTAGATATATAGATATTTTTAAAACTTGGAAGCAATTTCAATTTTTTTGATGAAATTAGTATTTTTGTTTCGAAGATTGTTATCAGCCAAGTTAACCAGAAATGGGCCTGGTTTGTCAGAAATTTTACTTCTTAATCGTCTCACATTCTCAAATCTTATGTCTTGAACTCCAATTTCTGTAAATATTTCCAAAACTTTCGCCTTGTTTACAGCTACTTTATCATCTAAAGAAACTTTATTGGATTCTGACACTCCATAAATAATGATATTTTTAGCTCTCTTTATATGTTCATTTAACTCATTTATGGTAGAATTTGCTACTATAAGATAATCGCTTAGTTTTTTAGTTAGTTGTCCTGACTTTTTAACTTGAATCCAATCATTTGTGCTCGATTGCTTGACTAAAGAGTTTGTTTGTGCAACGTCATTTTTTAACTGATTTATTACTTCTGCATTAACTACCTTTTCTGACTCTAACAGTTGCAAACGCTCATTTTTTTTTTTTTTCTGTTCTGTAATATTTGTAATATTGTAATATTTATTCGATCAGAAAGAAATAAGAGAAACTGTGAAATTTTTCCACACCAGTCATGCAATGTTTTTGTAGCTGCTGAATGATTTCCTTGTCCAAAGGCAGGTCAGTTTTCTTCAACCAAAAATTGGCAGTCCATTATTTGATGTAGGAGGGCTACCACCCTTCACAGCAGATTACCTCCTGGTCGAAAATTATTATTACTATACTTATTACACAGCGACTAAAAAGTTTCAGTATGTGTTTTTTTTCCGTTTTTTTTTTTAAGGTTGTTTAACCCTAAAAAGCTTATTAACACAAATAGAACTGTTAGTTTTTTGTTTGTTTTTTCTATATAGATTTTTCAAATCTATATGTTATTTTTATAACATAGATTTTTGAAATTTATATGTTATTATATATTATATATTATAACATATAGATTTTTGAAATCTGTATGTTATTTTGCTTATGTACGATTTATATGAATGTTATTAGGTTTATAACATATATAATCTTAAATTTAATTTTATATGGAATATTATATATAATAAGATGTATTATGTTCTATTTATGTATTTTCATATAAATCTTTTTTAAATACAACTTATATATACATTTAAGCAAACTGTTGAAATAAAATAAAAATTTTAACAAAAAACAAAACAAACAAAAAAACATTTTTTAAAAATTATGCATATGTACAAAGTTGGGACAATGTATAAAGGGGTGGACCTTTTGAAAAAAAAAATATATGCATTTTTATTTAATTTTAGTATAAATTTTTACATAAAATTATGTAAACATGATAAATAATGATAAATAGTAAATAAAAACAAATTTTCAACCAAAATGTCCTGAAAATAATAATATTCATAAATATACATAAAATGAATAATTATATATCTAATACTAAATACAGATGTTTTACTTTTTTTGTAAAACAACTTGGTTGGTTGAGATTTTTCTAGGTTTAACTATCTGACGCAGGAATTGATACCCTCTAATAAAGAGTTAATGATTCCAAGTTTTGAATGCCTAGGCTTTCTACTTTTTGAAAATAGATTTTTATATGAATAAAAAAGCAAACACCATCACCAATGCCATCATATCGAGTTTCATGGGTTCATATTTTGGAATTTAAATGTAATGGCTACTCTCTATCATCACAAAGAATCAGGTTAATCTATTGCTGAACGTCATTTTTCTTAAAAAAATTCCTATTTAAACTCTTCTACAGGTTGTGGTACAGGTAATTTCTGTCACATTAATCATCCTGTCACAGTCTAACAACTGTTCTTCAAAAATCTCTTTATTACCCTTTAAATTATTTTATAAGTGCTTAACAAAATTGTTTAGCACAAATAACCTAGACTCTAACTATCACCCAATCAATCTTTTTACTATTTTTATTAGTATTTGTTATTACAAAGTCTTTAAATCTGTAATTAACAAACTTTTAATTTCTAATCTTGGTCTAACAAATTACTTTCTGACAATCAATATCAATTTTGATTCCCTCATTCTACTGCTAAATTGATGATATTTGTTACAAAAAGGTTTTACTGTGCATTAGATGGATGCAGTGAGACAAGGGCTATTGGTCTTGGTATAGAAAAGCTTTTAATAGTCTGGTATGATGGTTTTCTCCATAAGCTTGTTTTATACAATGTATCAAGGAAAATTATTGAATCATTTCTTCTTAATTGCAGTAATAAAGTTGTCCTTAATGAACAACACTCTTCTTTAGTTTCAGTAACTTATGGGGTGCCTAATTTTTATTAATGATATTCTTAATAAAATCACCTCCAAAATAGATCAATCTTAAAAAAGAAGTCATTACATTTAGATCACTTAAAGCAACCAGGCAATCTTAAATCTGATCTCTCTTCTAACTATTTTCACAGATTATTGTTAATTTATTATTTTTTGTCTTTCATTTAAATCGTATATCTAGTTCATTGCAAAGTTGGAGTATTCTTGCTCTTGATTTCATTCTATATTAGTATAAAACTATTACTTATCGTTGTATTGTCATATTTATATATGACATATGCTTTATAACATTTTATAACTTTTAAAAACTAATTATGACTTTTCAACAAATTTTTGTTAAGAAAACAAAGTAAAATATGCAAGTTTGTTTTGTACCTGTACCAAACTATTTCTTTTGACAAATTCAAAAAGCTGAATAAATCATTACAGCCATGACTATTATTGATTAAAATATTTTTTAAATTATATTTACTTTTTGTTTCACCTAATTTTTTTATTTAGTATTTGGACAAAGTATTGCTTAATGGGCTTTACACTGAGCAGTATTATAATGGGGATAATATACCTGAAATTGAAAGAGGTTATGTTTTATTTGAAAACAAATTGTTGGGTTTACCAAGGCTTCGTCAAGTTCGAGTAAAGAATGATTCGTGTTTGTAAGTAATTTGAATTCATTAATAAGTATTGTAAAAATTATGATAATCAACTAGTTAACAAACATTTTTTGATTTTTTTGAGATTTTCAATTAAAGTAATTTTTTTAGTAGGTTCACATGAGTAAGTAATATTTAATCATGAGTTAGAAACTAATTTTTACATGAGATAATAAGTAATCTCTGATCTATGAAAAATCAAGAATAATACAATAGTATCTTTTGAGTACCAAAATACACTTTGATGATTTTTGAAATCTATTTATAAATTAGGATCCTATGTAAAATAATACAATTTTACTTTTTAAAAATTAAATTCCTTAAAGCAGAGGCATTATTAACAGCATTTTTTGTGGGTATTTTTGTTCCATATGATTGATACAAATACATGAAAATTCAGACAAATTAGTCTCAATGAGCTATAACAATAATGTTAATTGTTCAATAATAATAAAATCTAAAATAAAAAATTAAAACAATCTTATGTAAAAATGGACTTGAGTTCTCGGAAGCTGCCAGGCAAAATTGTATTTTAAAAAAAAAAACTGTCAGTAAAGCTGAAGAGATTTCTTTATTAAAATGGTTCTCATCAAGTTAAAAAGTTTAGAAAAATAAAACAAAAAAATAAAAACTGGTTGATGCCACTTGCTGCCTAGGATTATTTCTAGGTTGAAGCTCCTTGCTGCCTAGTTGTAAACTTAATCTTTTTGAAATTACAAGAAAAAATTAGTAGATTTAATTAAAAATTTTATTTTTAGCATCCTGTCAAGTAGTTGGTCCAGATATTTGTCACTGTTCCAAGAAAAAAGTTTAAATATGCTATGCCTTAATTGTTTTAAAGAATTCAAATTTTACAGAGTTGTTTCTTAAACTAAAAGAAATATCTGTTGTTGTTGACAGTATAAAAATAAAACTTGCGTCAGAAAGAAGCGCTCTTGCTGTTAAAATGTATGGAGACCTATCCCATAAAAGGCAGATAAGAAATAAAACCATATGGAAAGATAAGAAATAAACCATATTAAATAAATAAATCATGTTTATTTATAATAAACATGATTTTAGTTTAAAGGTACTATAAAATATGATTTTATAGATGAGAAACTATGCTTGATGATTCAGAATACAGAATCTTCTAACTTCTATGATGATATTACAAATAGGCTATAGTACTTGGTAGGTTTATGTTATATACAAACCTCTTTGCTGCTTGGAATTTTTATTTACTTTTAAAATTACTAAAAATTACTAATTTTGTAAGTTTCTGTCAGTTCAACACAAATCTTTCTGATAATTTTAAATTATCAGAAAGATTGATATTTATGTTAAATTTATCAAAAAATACATTGAAAAATATTACTGTATATTAATAATTTAATAAATATTGGTTTTGATTCAACAATTTTATTTTGTCATGTAATTTATATTTCTACATATTATTAGTTACTTTAAAACAATACTTTATTATTATTTAAATGAATTTTTTTATTTATATGTTTATATATTTATATAAAAACATTAAATAATAATATTTTATCAAATGATTTTAACATTTTCAATAATTTGATTATTTTTGTAACATGTAAAATCAAGAAAAGATTGATACGCAAGTCTTTTGAATTAGTGTTGTTTTTATTTTTATGTTTTTATTACTTTTTATTCTCTTGAGAATAAAAATTTGTTCATAAAGTACATAAAAATAAGTATTACATGAGTTTAACTCTATAAGTTTTAATCAAGATAAAACTGTTTTTATAATTGTTTATGTGACACAATGATTGCATTTAGGTCTATATATTGCAGAGTTATGTAGACGTGGAAGATGGGATAATAGAAACAGATAGTAGATAATGTCCTTGGGTGAGAATAAGCAATGAATGTAAAAGCTATTCAATAGAAGGAAAAATTTGTTTAGCTTTACTCACTGCTCAGGGAGAGGGAAAACCATAACTCATGCTCTATTCATTCTTAGCAAATGATAAAATAATGGCCTATGAAAATATCATACTATATAAAATAAATATATATTGTAAGAAAAATAATTGTTAATGATAGTTTGGATAATATAAATAAAAACTCGCCAAGCTATAGTTTCAACATGCAAATGTCAAAAAATGTAGTTTATAAATTGTACTATAGTACATAATTTAATTTAAAAACTGACAACCACCTATGGCACAGCAGATTATTTGGACACTACTCGACTTTCTCTCCCCCTTCTTCTCATTTTTGTTTTTATGATTGATTATGATAAAATATATTACACTGATTCAGAATCATAAAAAAGCATAGGTCTGAAAACTTGAGGAAAGACTCTAATAGTACTTAAAACTTGAGGAGAGTACTCTAAGGTTGCTTAATAAAACAAATAATTTCTTAATTTTTGAAAACAGTGTTGAAATGTTTTTAAAAAAGATGGTATTAACATTTTTAATGTGGTTTTTTTATACTTTAACTTCAAATTAGTGTTCTTTCCTCAAGTTTTCAGCTAAATAAAATCAATGTTTTTATATGATTCTGAATCATAATCAATCACAAAAACTAGAGGAGGGGGGAATATGAATATTGTTAATATTACAAATATATATTATAAACTTAACAAAGTGGTAAAGGTCATGCATATAAGAGGTAAAAAAATGTTGGTGGCATTATAACCAATTAGAATTAAGTAATGTATGATAGGAGATCCCCCTCCTCAGAAGGATTGCCATTGATACTCTGCGCTCACCAATGACATTTCAAAGAGCCCAAGACCTGCACTAAGGCCACTGATCAAGGGCATATCCTTGCAACAGATCTCACCTCCTGGACTTCTTTTTTTTTATGTTATGCAAGTCAATATTGCAATATAATTAAACCTTACTAAGATGAACAAAAAACTGAGACCCCATCTGTAGTTAAGTATAGCTCCAACATTTTTAAAGATCTCACAAAGTTGATGAGGGATGCACGCCGTATAGCTGATTAAACATTTTTTAAAGTTTAAAAAATATTTTGTTAATTATGTAAAAGGTAAGCTGTGGTTATTAATATAAATATTTAAAATTATTTTCCTTATTAAAGCAATAAATAACTTTTCCTTTAGTTTAAAAATTTGTTTAATTTAAATAGTTCTTTAATATAACATCACATATTTTAGTATACTTATAATAAAGTTCATTAGAATCAATCTTCAGTTAATATAACATCACATATCATTTATTTATAATAAAAGTTCCTAAGAATCAATTTTCAGTTAATTTTACACTAGTTTAAATTTAATATTTTTATATGTTGAGATTGTGTTTTAACTTTGATTTCATTTAGGGTCCACCCATTCTTCAAGAATAGCGTTTATGAATGTTATGCCCCATATTCTTCTGGAAATGAATTTAAAGAAAATATTGAAAGTTTCAATCAAAAGTATATATTTAATTTATTAAATTTACATTAACTATATTTTATTTTAGTATTTTATTTTGAATAAACTATATTTTATTCAATATGTTACATTTTACTTGAATTTTCACAGGTCTAAATTTAGATTTTTTTTAAGTAAAGTGTTGCAAATTGTTTCATTATAAGCTATTGTTACTTTTTATTATAAGTTAATGTAATTTTTTCTTATAAGTTATTAATGTTTAAAAGAGTTGTTTATTTTTTTTATATGCATTCATTTTGATTGCATAATTATGTTTTATCATAATCATGCTTTAGAAAAATTGTGTTGCTGTTTTTTTCGCATGCTCTTTAAAAAGTAAACAAAGCAACTCATCTATTTATACTAGCACTCGATATTGTTTTTCAAAGCTTGTCGATCAAATGTAATTTTCACAAAAACAGGTTATTTTCCCTTAAATTTTTCAAAATTTCCCTAAAAATAGCCGATCATTGATCGGCCGTTATTTGGAAATTATATTTAAATTATTTATAACTTTTATTTGAAACAGACTTCTAAATAGCTGAAAAGTTTGATATTATGCATAATGTGAGACTTTAAATTCAACGCATGTTCTAATTTGCATAACTTCTCTGATTTGATCCAGTCGTAATGTAGCTGTTAAATTTTTCAGCAGATTGATTTGATCATTAAGATCAGTGACATGAATTTATTGTCTCACATTGGATTTTCTTTTCTGTCTTGGTGAGTCTTTGAGCTTTGGAACAAAGTTTGAAGTTGTTCGACATTTTAAGGAAGCAAGAAGACATAACTTTGTATCATTGGGAGTCTGTTCGGCTGTCTTCAGATGCAATTTCCATAACATCATCACTGTCACCTGTTACTGGATAAAGTAAAAAAATGATTAGGCCAGTTTCTTTTTTTGCTTCTTCAATAATTTTTTTATTTGATGAGAATAGGAATGGGGATACTTTCGGTTCTTCAAGAACTTCTGGATTGTTGAGAAATTTGAGCAAACAAACAGATAAGATTAGATGTCTTTTATGAATATCTATTTGAATTTCTTCAATCAAGTGACCACAAATAAAACTTTCCTTCATTCACAATTCCTCCAACAAAATTTTTAATGCATCTTCTGCAATTTTCAAGTCCGAATCATTATCAATCATGGCATCCATAGCCATTTTACATAGTTGAAGAGTTGCTACTAATTCAGAAATGGTTTCTATATAATCAGCCCAATCATGTCTAAATGCGTCAAGAGTTTTTTTGATAGCTGGCATCATGTCATTGAAAGTTTGTAGCATTTTCAATCAAATGTTTCATTATGTTCTGACATCGAGAACCAGCAATTTGGAAGAGATTGAGCATTTTCTTTAAGCTCAATGACTAATTTAAGTTTGTATTTTAATTTTTTTACAATAGTTTGAACATCTTTGAGAGTTTTAGTACTAGACAAATCAGGAGTGTACTCAAATGCTTCTTCATATTTGTTTTCTTTGTCATAATTTACGTCAGCTTTATTTTTCTCTTCATCTTCTTTTTTTTGCTGAACTACTCACGCTTGGTGAGTTGCAAAAACTCTGAGATGTGCATGCTAACATGTCACTCTCTGTATCTGATTCTTCTTTGCTCTGGTCTGTTAATGAATTCTTATTTGCTCAATCTGTAATTATTTTTTTAGACAGATTCCATGATCTTAACAAATTTGATGTTGTTGTAAGAGCTGGCCGTATTTAGTGCAAACACTTACACTAAATAGGCTTGCTCATCTATAGTTTGACCAATGCAATCTCGGTCAGGATCAATGCCGAAGGTCATTAATTGATGCTTTTGCAACCTCAAAAGGTTTTAGCATCACATTCTTTTCCCATTTCAATCATACCAAGATTTTGGTTGTTATTGTTGGGGCCAAAAATGGCAATATTGGTGGAACTTCCATAAATAAGTATGAACTTGTTTTGTGTTGTTTGCTTGATGAATTTGTCCTTTGCACCACCAAAACACAATGTACATTCAACTTGAAACTTGTCATTTTTCGAAACTAGACAGTAGTTTTGCCACTTTAAATAAATTCCTCTTGCAATTTTTTCCATTTCAATATTTGAATCTGTTTAATTTAAAAAATCATTAAAGTTGCAATTGTTATGCTAAATGTCATAAATTAAATTTATTGACTTTAGGACTATGGCTTTTATTCCATTCAATTGAGAATTCCTCTTGCGGAATTAATCTCTGAGGAAATAGTTTAGCAATCATTATATAGAGTTTCTCATATAGTTCTCCGAAGGCATTGCTTAGTTTGCAATCGTTAATCATTGTTCTTATTAAGTATTAGAACTTTATTTAGATTATCCAGAGGGAATCGATTTCATAACAATCATTATGTGCAAAAGTACTTTCTATTTTGTAACTAAAAAGTACATTCATCATACTGTACTTTTTATTTTTACTGAAGTATTTTGCTTTAGTACTTTTAACTTTTTTTTTTTTACTTTTTGAGTTAGTACTTTTCTTTTTTACTTAAGTGTTGTTAAAAAATAACAACCCCAACCCTAAAAATTTATGCTGAGGACTCTTGTTTACTCAAAAATGTTGCGACTCTTCTCTCGTTAATTTTTTTTTGAAGGTTTTCGATATTTTTCAGTAATCTTGGTTTTCATATTTTTCACATTTTCTTGGTATTCTGAGACCATGATTTCCAAGACAAGTGAAATCTGAAAGTATAGCGCTAAATAAATTGTACAAAATGTTATCATAAAGAAAAATAATCTATGTATTACTATTTCAGTTGAGATATTTTTTTTAGAAAATTTTTATATTATTCAAAATGTTAACTAAACAGCAAAAAGTGCAATTTTGCATGTTTGAGTGGAAATTTGCTTTTAAATTGATTGAATATGAATAAAGGCTTTTATCATTTTTAAGAATATTGAGGCTAATAAGAGGCTATTGCTTAGTTGAATAAGAGAATAAGAGGCTATTGCTTAGTTGTTAAATAGTGTACTGAGTACTATCTATACTTGAGTCAAGTTCTTTATAAATTTAAAATGACTAAAGTACCTAAAACTAAAAAACACAAAAAACCATCGTCATCACCAAGTTCTCTAAACCTATCATTTACTAATAATTGTGGTCTTCGAAGTAACTTTTCTTCTGTTGAGTCTTATCTCTTGCAAAGTTCACCAGACCTACTTGCTCTTTGTGAGACTAATTTGAGTTTGGCTGTCCCATCTTGTGATCTTAGTGTTGATGGTTATCTTCCTTTAATTCGTAAAGACTCCAATAATCACATGCTTGGCCTGGGCATCTACATTCGTAAGAACTCACCCATTTGTCGTGAAACTAGGTTTGAATCTACAGACTATTCATTTATGTGCTTTCGTTTAGCACAACTTCACTCTATCGCCTTTCTCTTTGTTCTATATCGCTCTCCCTCATCCCAAGATTGCACTATTCTTGATGTTATTTGTGATCAAATTGACCAAGCCCTCTCTCTTTATCCATCGGCCAATATCGTCGTTGTTGGTGACTTTAATGCCCATCACACCGATTGGCTTGGCTCTAGTGTCAGTGACTCTGCTGGCGTTAAGGCCTTCAACTTTTGCCTTTCTCAATCTCTAACTCAAATAGTCAACTTTCCAACTCGTTTTCCAGACAACCTTAATCATTTACCTTCTCTACTCGACTTATGTCTTGTTTTGGATCCTAGTCAGTGCTCAATTTCTCCACATTCACCCTTAGGTACTTCTGATCACGGTTTGATCTCTCTAAAACTATTATCAAATTCTTTTACTTCATCAGAATCCCCCTATCATCGTACCACATACAACTACCTTAAAGCTGACTGGGACTCTTTCCGTGATTTTCTTCGTGATGGCCCTTGGGTAGAAATCTTTCGTCTTCCTGCTGACAAATGTGCTTCTTACATAACTTCGTGGATTCAGGCTGGCATGGAATCTTTTATTCCCTCTCGACGATTCCAGGTCAAGCCTCACTCTTCTCCTTGGTTTTCCTCACATTGCGCTGCAGCAATTTCTAATCGAAACCGTTACTTCCATATCTATCAGCAAAACAATTCTCCAGAAAACAGACATCTGTTCACTATCGCCAGAAACCATTGTAAAAAGGTTTTGTCTGACGCCAAAGCTCGCTATTCCCAGGTCATTAAATCTCGTATCTCATCACAAAAATTAGGCTCTCGAGACTTCTGGAGAATCTTTAACAGTATCAATAATAAGGGCAAATCTGTTATTCCTTCTCTCTTGTATGGTTCAGACTTTGTCACCTCACCTAAAGACAAAGCTGAATTGTTTGCTAAGAACTTCTCATCAATATCATCTCTCGATTCCACTAGTTGCGTTTTACCTGACATAGCCGTCAAACAGGTTGATCCCTTGCTTGACATTCGCATCACTTCAGCTTCTGTATCTAAAGTAATTTCCTGCTTAGACTCTTCAACAGCTTGTGGTCCTGACAACATTCCTGTTGTAGTCTTGCAGAGGTGTTCTCCGGAGCTTTCATCCATACTTTCTAAACTATTTAACAAGTGCTTATCAGAGTCTTGTTTTCCATCATGCTGGAAAGCAGCATCTGTTATCCCTATTTTCAAAAATTCCGGAGAGCGATCTGATTCATCTAACTACCGTCCCATTAGTCTTCTTCCTGTCATAAGCAAGGTTTTTGAATCTTTAATCAACAAACACTTAATCTCTCATCTTGAATCAAATAACTTACTTTCTGATCATCAATATGGATTTCGGTCTTCTCGTTCTACAGCTGATGTGCTAACAGTAATAACCGATAGGTTTTACCGTGCATTAGATAGAGGTGGAGAGGTTAAGGCTATCGCACTTGACATTTCTAAAGCTTTTGATAAAGTTTGGCATGCTGGTCTTCTCCATAAGCTTTCTTCTTATGGTGTAGCTGGTAACGTCTTTAAGATTATTGAGTCCTTTCTTTCCAATCGTAGTATAAAAGTTGTCCTCGATGGACAACACTCTTCTTCACATCCTGTAACTTCAGGGGTTCCTCAAGGTTCAATCCTTGGCCCTATACTCTTTTTAATTTACATTAACGATCTTCCAGATATTCTCACATCTAAGGTGGCATTATTCGCTGACGACACTACCATTTACTCTTGTCATGATAAGAAGCCTACACTCTCTGATTGCTTGGAGGGGGTATCTGAGCTTGAAAAGGATCTCACTTCTGCTACAGCATGGGGCTCACAGTGGCTGGTGAACTTTAATTCAGATAAAACTCAATTTTATTTGGCCAATCGTTATCGTAATAATTTAGATCTTCCTATATTTATGAATGGTAATGTACTAGATGAGTCATCTACCATTCATCTTCTAGGATTAACTCTTACTTCTGATCTTTCTTTTAAACCGTATATCAAATCCATTGCAAAATTAGCATCTGCTAAGGTTGCATCTCTTTATCGAGCTCGACACTTTCTTACTCCAGATTCTATTCTCTATCTTTATAAATCTCAAATCCGTCCCTGTATGGAATACTGTTGCCACATCTGGGGCGGATCTTCTAATGATGCTCTTTCTCTTTTAGACAAGGTGCAAAAACGAATTGTAAACATAGTTGGACCTGCTCTGGCAGCCAATCTCCAACCTTTGTCACATCGTCGTAATGTTGCTTCTCTTTCTCTTTTCTACAAATACTATAATGGGCACTGCTCTAAGGAGCTAGCGTCCCTTGTGCCATCTACTAAAATTCATTACTCGCCATTCAATTAAGTCTCATCCTTTTTCTGTGACTGTTCCTAAGTGCTTCAAAAACTCTTATTCTTCTAGTTTTTTTCCTCGAACATCAGTTCTTTGGAATTCGCTTCCTTCATCTTGCTTTCCTGATTCATATAATTTGCAATCTTTTAAGTCATCAGTCAATCGTTATCTTGCTCTACAGATTTAGTCTTTTCTCTTCCAGTAACTTCCAACTCTTATAGTGGTTGCTTGCAGCCTTGTTGGAAGTGAAGATGTTAAAAAAAAAAAAAAAAAAAAAAAAGAATACCTTTTTATGAAATGAATCTCATAAAAAGGTATTCTTAAAAATGATAAAAGCCTTGGTCCCAATAGTCTACCAACATTTCTTCTAAAACTGGTACCTCACATTATAACCAAACCACTATGTTTGATGATGAATAATTCTTTCAAAAATGGTATTTTTCCAGAAGCTTTTACGATAGTCAAAGTAATTTCTGTACACAAAACCAGTTCTCTTCTAGACTACTCTCCAATTATTGACCTATTGCTTTTCATTCCAACCTAAGTAAACTGTTTGAAAAAGTTATGTTCCAAAGACTCGTTTATTTTTTGGAGAAATAAAAATGTCTATACATCAATATGGTTTTTGCAACTAACACTCAACAACTCATTCATTAATAGAAACAAAGATTCCACTATGGCTATTGAGCAAAGAAAGTTAGACAAGCCATCAATAATAAACCCTTTGTGTGTGGAGTGTTTATTGACATAAAAAAAGCATTTGATACAGTTGAGCACACAATCTTCCTAGAAAAACTGCAAAAGGTATTCCTTTTCTCTGGTTTCCCTTTTATTTTTGTAGTAGAATAAGATTTGTTTCAAATAATGGTACCAACTCAGAACTAGCTAAATATTTTTAACAGTGTTCCCAAAAGCCTCAGTTTTAGGACAGTTACTTTTTCTTATTTTTATCTATGATTTAAATGTTTCACTTGAATTTTCTACTGTGTATCACATTGCGGATGACACCAACTTGCTGTTAAATAAAAAATCACTTAAAAACTTTAATAAAGTATAAATCACGATCTAGCTAATATTTTTCAATGTTTCCATTCCAATAAATTATCCCTTAACTCTAAAAAAACAGAAATTTTTATATTTAAATCTGTTCAAACAAAAATAAGCAATTAAATTTCTGATTAAGTGGGCAGAAAATAAATACAGTTAACTCTATTAAATATCTTAGAATCAAAATAGACTCTAATTTATCTTTTGCATCACATCTTCAAAACTTAGCATTGAAATTAGGCAGATCAAATGGCATGTTTGCTAAAATCCATTTTTATGTTAATCAACTTTGCCTAATATATATCATGTATTTTTTTACTCTTATCTCAGATATGATTGTCAAATTTGGGTACAAGCAGCTTGCAAGACTAACACGTCTCCAAAATAAAGCTCATAAGATAATTTGTTTCCCACATACTACTTCAAACTGTAGCATACTTTATTATTTTTTAAATATATACTTTATTTTTATCAGCTATCAAATTGCTTTAGCCTATCAAAATTGCAATAGCCTTCTTGTTACATTTATCAAGAGCTGCTCGCAACTTTAAGTTTTCTATTATTTTTATTTACTCCTACTTGTATTATAAATTATTATTATCATTTTATTATTATTGAATTTTACAGGTGTTTAGTTCTTATTAGTACTTATTACTATTTGTAAATAACCTTGATGTAAAATATTTATTCAGAATATATTTGATTTGATTTTGATTAACAAAAATCTGAAGATGAATATTTTGGCAAAAATTAGGACAAATCCTAATATTTCTGAGCTAGATTTGGTATTGAAGTGCAGAAAAAAGGTCCAGACTATCAAGAAGAAGCATAAAATCAAGTTCTTCAAGATGTTTAAAGCCCCAAATGGCAATGCTGAAGTAAATTTAGTGACAAGAAGTTGCGCAGGAAAATTATAAAAACTATAATGTTGAAAAAAAAGTATACTTATGGATAATTAAACTTATGTGAATTTAATTTCAAAATTAAAAAGCCAGGACATCATTTTTATTTAGGATTCTGTAGGAAAAAAGTAATTTTAAAACAATAAAACTAAAAAAGTTCCCCCAAAATTTATGGTTTGGCAAGCTATATGTCGATGTGAATTGAAAACACAAAGTTTCATCACTAGTTTTACAATAAATAGTTTAAATTATTATAAATTTTTTAAAAAGAGTACCTTAAGAAGCACTTATTGACACTGTGGAAAGCCCTGATGGTAATGCAATCTTTTGGCATGACCAAAGCATCTTGACATTACTCTAAATTCCTATTATACCTCTACAATACCAATAGTATTGATTTTATACCTAGAACACATAATCCTGCAAAGTGAACATAGTCCAATTGAGCAATATTGGAAGATTAATAAAGTCAAGTCACATTAAGAAGTTTAAGAAAGCAAAATCAATTACTGACTTTAAGAAGAAGTGGGGTAACACACACAAGAAGTGGGGTAACACACACAAGAAGTGGGGTAACACACACAAGAAGTGGGGTAACACACACAAGAAGTGGGGTAACACACACAAGAAGTGGGGTAAAATCACCACAGAGTATGGATCTTTTCTAGTGCAAAATCTTATGGCTCCCATCAAGAGAAAAATTAAAAATTTTTATCATCCTGAAGAATTTAAATTTTTTTTTCTTTATTCATTTTTGTTCTAGACTTAATAAGCGTTCAATAAAAAATAGTCAAGTTTATAGCTCATTCAAATCTTTTTTAATTCAGAATAAAAAAAGTATCGGTTTTTTAATTCAGAATAAAAGTGTCAGTTTTACTCAACTAAACCTTTACCAACCAACTAGGTTGATAAATTTATGATATAATGAGATTTTTGTTTACTCAAAGAAGGATCTACTCATTTAGTATAAATTGCTTCCTTTATTTTTATTTGTTTTTATTTGTGGCAGTATCCAAAATCTCAAAACATTTGTAATTAGTTTTTACAATTAATGTATTTTTGAGCACTGTGACTCATTATAAGCCACATTTTTATAGTGATTTGTCGTCTAATAAAATTACAGATGATCTGTAAACAGAGTTGACTAAACAGTCATCTAGGGATCAGATAACGCTATTTCTTTAACTGCATTTTAAACCAATCAGAAAACTAGCTAATTCTAATTCTGCATTAGCCAAATCTTACTATTTCTGTTGTGAGAAAAAAAAAAATGACATGTAAAAATTGTATGATGATCATCTCTTGTTTCAAAATCAGGCTCAAGGAATCTAGAAAGCTTGTTGAGCTCTTCTACTTTTATATCTCTTACCTATATCTATTTTTTTATTAAAAGCTATTTTTCTAGTTCAACAGAGTAGTTAACACATATGTATAGTCTATAGAAACTATTTTCATATAAAAAAACCCTTTCAGTGTATTGTGCACTGTATTGAGTGATTGCTTTGATGTAACATTTTGTCTCATGAGATGAATCTTATTATGTGAAGATCTCAGCCTGAGAAATGGTATTAAATACAAATACATCATTGACATGGTTTCAAAAAAAGCTTCAACACCACTGTTTTTATTTTTATTTTATTTTATTTATTTTTTATTGTAGGGTAAGTTTCATTCCAAAACAGAATTTAGCAAAAAAAAGTCAAACTAAATTTTAACTTGCTGAAAATAAATGTACTAACATTCTTTTCTCTTGACATTATGAATGTTTGACCTCTACCTCTACAAAATGTAACAAAAAATAAAAAGCTGTTTCAAAAAGTGATTTAAAAAATAAAAAATAAGCCTAAATAAAAACTACTCAAGGTTTTTATACATTTTAAATATTCAATTGAAGAATGAATTATTACTTTGTTTGAAGATCTTTAAACTTTTTTCATCAAAACCACCACCATTGTATGATTAAAATCAGTTGATAAAAGCTTATGTACTGGTTCTAGACGTTACTTATAAAGTTTTATTTTGTGACATTGTTTTTTATAAAGTATATTATGTATTTAAAATTATATACTTAAAGAAATATACCTATAAATTTGATATTAAAATTTTATATTTTAGTGGAATATATCATTCAGAAGCAGAAATTAGTGGCAGATCTTTTTCAGGGCAAGTATCAACATATGGTGGCGGTGGCTATATTGCATTACTAAACACCACAAATGATGATTCAAATTCTACTATACAAAATCTTATGGTAAATTTTTTTTTTTTTCTTTTGTATTTTTAGATTATATAAAAATTCTTAATTTATTTTTTCAAACTTTATGAACCATGTTTTTTTAATTTATTTTTTCAAACTTTATGAACCATGTTTTTTTAATTTATTTTTTCAAACTTTATGAACCATGTTTTTTTAATTTTGTATAAAAGCAATTTGATAGTTGTTCTAAAAATAAATACTTTATAAATCCATAATTTGAATGATTTGATAAAATTTAAAATGGTTATAATTTTGTAACAAGGATGTGAGAAAATATATATATAAAAAAGGTAAATAGTATTGAAAAAATATCATTTTCAAACTACAACTATTGCTGCAGTACACATTAGAAATTTGTATGAAACTAAATGTGTCAAACTGTTAGCATAATGATAGAAATTCAAGTGCTTCAAGATTTAATTGTATTGAAATTTTGTTTTCTTAGAAAATGCGATGGATTAATCGAGGCACAAGAGCTGTTTTTATTGATTTTACCGTTTATAATGCTAATATCAACTTATTTTGTGTTATCACGTAAGTGGTTTATTTGAAGATAGCTTGCATAGCTGTTTGTATTTTTTTTTTTTTAAATAACTAATATTTAAAACTTTCTAAGTTTATACTTCTGCGATTGTTTTAGATTGTTGTTTGAGTTTCCAGCAACTGGAGGTTGCATGGCATCAGCCACCTATAGATCATTAAAATTATTGCGCTATGTTACTGATTCGGATTACTTTGTGATGGGTTGTGAATATATATTTGTTGTATTTATTCTGTATTACTTAATTGAAGAGCTGCTTGAGATTCAAAAGAACAAGTTATCTTATTTTTATGACGTGTGGAGTATTTTTGATCTTCTTGTTCTTTGCATTGGAATTTTTTGTGTCGCTTTTAACATCTACAGAACAATATCAGTTGGAAAATTATTGCAGGACTTATTGGAAAATCAAGACCAATATGCAAATTTTGGTTTTTTAAGTGAATGGCAAACTCGATTCAATGATTTTGCTGCTGTTGGTGTTTTTATTTCATGGATAAAGGTTAATATAATATGTTTTGTGTTTTCCATATTTATTTTTGATTATTATTATTTTTTTTTATGTCAAAAGAGTTTCAATGTAATAAAAATAGTCACTGCTTTTATTAAAAATATGTTAATAAAGCACATTTACCTTTGTTTTAAGAGAATTATCTTTATGCATTTCAATTTAAGTCTTTTCTTTGGTGGTTCTGGCTAAGGCTCCAAACTATTAGAAATCCAAATTATCTAAACTATCTTTTTTTTTCAAAGTAAGTTTGCTAATATAAAATGCTAATGACATTCCAAAGTTTTCTTTATTATTTAGGATTATTTCAGTTCTGTTGCGTCTGGTACAGCTTATTAATACAGCCTAAAGTTAATTTTTAATTATTTCAACTTAGTTAAACCTGCAGGTTTTAAAACCCTGGCTTATTTCAACTTATAATTTTTTAAGTTAAAATAAACCAAATTGTATATTGTTGAAGTATTTCAGCCATAAAATTTTTCAAAAATTTTTTGTAATTATTTTAAATTTGTCCACAAAAGCTCTTACAATTCTAACTTAAATATAAACTCAATTTGCTTTACTAGAAATTCAAATCATCAAAAAATGTCTTTAAGTTCAGTTTGTTCAGTTTTTTTACCAAAAAGTTTGTTAGCACCAAAAAGAAAAAAAAAACATTAAGAGTGTTAAAAGCATCAAAATAAAAAAATTTCAAAAAGTTCCACAAATGTGTTTAATGAATGTTTTATACATGATTTTTGTTGTTGTTGTTGTTCACCTTCCCAACGCCAAGAGAGCCATTGCAATCAAGGAAGCTACTTTTTGTGGTTACAACCCTCTCTCAACTCTTTAACTCCAAAAAACACGAACCTTGGCAAACAAGGCTGCTGCGCGGAGAAATAAGTTGAGCACTGTACTACCAGAGACATGGTGGGGATCAAGCTTGAAACTTCTCGCTTATGAAGCGAGCTCTACCACAATACTAATACTGCATTATGCTTCCTAAAAAATGTCAGCATGTTGAGATAAATGTGATTTGCATTAAAAAACAATTGAAATAGGTAAGGAATAAGATCTTTTATATTAAAAAAAAAAAATTGATATATATATATATATTTTTTTCAATTTTGTAACTAATTGTTTGTTTCTCTCTAAGAATCTAAATATATTAGTTGTTTAATAATTAGACTTAATTAATTTTTTTGTTTTTAGTTTATATTTAGTGTCTCTGAATCTACACTTGTATAATTGGGTTTCCATAGTGACATTTCCTCTGTTAAATATAACATTTTTTTTATAACATTGTTTTATAGATCAGAGCTGAGTTATTTTGTAGTGATACTACCACTCAGAGAATTGCAATTCACTATCAGTTTACACACACCCTCACTCCACACCCCATCACCCATATTCAAATTTAAATTAGGATTTATATCAGAGTTTTCCATCTCTAAGTTAAGTTTTCTTCACCAACATCAATCAGAAGCTCCATTTATTCTCTGTTTTCGACCCTTTTTACTCATTCATATATATAATAATAATGTTAGTTATTTTTTGCTAGACAATGCTCTGTCTATGACAGTATATTTTTATGCTCACATCGGTTATTTTTTAAAGTATAAAGCATGTATTAAAAAATTACTAGAGTAAGCTTAAAAAAATCATAAAAAACTCTGTAAAACCAAAAAAAAATTTTTTCCTTTATTAAAGCAGTTAATAAACAGTTACACAATTTTGTAATTTGGTTGGATAAATTAGGCAATATTTATTGTATGATATAATATTGATAATATTATTTAGACAGCTGACATTAAAGTGATTCCTATTAAAGATTAAGTGCACCTTGTGTGCTTATGTTACTACAGAGACATGTAGTCATTTATGACTAAACATTGTTATTATGCTCGTCTGAAAAAAAAGTAAATTTTTGCATTCATATTAATAAGAAGTTGTTTAGAGTGAGAACAAGTTGAACTTTGAAGTTTATTACTGTTGCCACATGTTTTTGAACTTTTATGAGGCATTAACCAACAAGTTTATAATATCTCATCTTAAATATTTTCTTATCACTTTTTGATAATAAAAAAATTTAAACCCACTTTCAAAAGTTTTAATTTTTTTTTTTCTAACACTGATTTGTTACTATGGCAATCACTTAGAGGTTTTACTTAGTTACTAATGGTAATGACTTAGAGGTCTTACTTGGTGTTATATGCATGTTGCATGAAAATTAAGGGTATTGCTCCTGAATTTTAATGTCTGGCATGCTTATCTCTTTAAGTGATATTTTATTTAAAAATAACAAACCCACTTGTGATTTCAGCCAAGTATATATATCATAGGAAAAATTTATTGAAATTGCTGTTGCCTAATTTATCCTAATTATGCGATATAAGGATTTTATCCTATTTATGTGATAGAAGGATAGTAATATCCTTATCTCATACATTCTTCAACATTAAAGACATTGATGATAGCTTCATGTTTTTTTGTTGCTTTTTATTAAACTCCTCCAACCAACTATGTTGACCAAACAGATTATATTATTTATACATCGTATCAGTTTATATTTATTTCTGTCACTATTTAGATCTTCAAGTTCATAAAATTCAACAAAACAATGTCACAGCTACAATCAACTTTAGCTCGTGGTGCAAAAGACATTGCTGCATTTGCAGTTATATTTATGCTTGTTTTCTTAGCATATGCTCAATTAGGTTATTTACTTTTTGGCTGTCTTGTACAAGATTATTCAACGATTCTGAGCTGCATGTAAATAGTTTTTGGATTTTTCTAATTTTTACTTTTTTCACTAGTTCTATTTATCTGCACTAACTATCAATTTTTATGTTTTATGTTTAATATTTTTTTGTTGTTTTTGTTGTTGCTTTTTGTTTTTTCCTTACTTGTTATTTACTTCATTTTTTTTTTATTTTTTTTTTTTTTAAGTTACTCATTGTTTCGCATCATTCTTGGAGATTTTACCTTTTCTGACCTCCAAAATGCGCAACCAACATTGGGTCCCATATTTTTTATCACATTTGTGTTTTTTGTGTTCTTTATTCTTTTCAACATGTTTGTGGCTATAGTCAATGAAACTTATGCAGAAGTAAAAATAGAAATTGCATTGCAGAAAGATGAATTTCAGCTGGGTGATTACTTCAAGAGAGGGTACAATAATATGATGACTAAGCTGAAGTTAAAGAAAGAAAATATTGTTAACATACAGGAAGCCCTTCAATTTTCCGATAAAAATAAAGACAAAACTGTGGACTTTGAAGAATGGAGATTAGAACTTAAAAAGTATGTTTTATTTTTTTATTTTTTTGAAACTTTTTTTTATTGATTTGTTCAAATTGTATTGCTTTTAAATGTTTTTAGACGGGGTCATTCTGATGTTGAAATTGCAGCTGTTTTTTCAAAATATGATAATGATGGAGACCGCATTCTTAATGAAGAAGAGATTAGTAAAATGAATAAAGATTTAGAGACGCAAAAGGTAAAGTTTTATCAAAATTAATTATTTGGTCAATTTTAAAAGATAAAAACAAAAGTATAAAGTATATAAATATTGATATGAAAGGAAAATGCTTTGTTGACATTTTAAGATTAAGGGCTATTAATATGATCTGACAATGTAATTATGTTTATGCCATAATTATGCTTTTGTCATAATTATTTCAGTTATGCTTTTGTCATTATTGTGTCAGTTATACTTATGTCAATCATGTTTATGACTGTATGTTAGTGATGTTTTGATAGTGTTTATATAGTGCTTTTTTAGCAAAGATATGTTTTAGATAGTTTTATTTGATAGTGTTTATAGAAGAGATATTTTGTTTGATAGTTTTATTTGATAGATTTGAGTGCTTTATTGCAGAGATATTTTATTTGATAGTTTTGATAATGTTTTTATAGTGCTTTATAGCAGAGATATGCTGATACATAGGCTTATAACATATACAATTTATAGAATTTTTTATAAATAAGATCTCATTTTTGCTTAGGAGTATACATTATGAAAGCATTAAGATTAATTAAGAAATTTATGATGTTCTTTTGCATGAGGACATAGATCATCTCATTACATATTTTCTATTCTATAAATTTTTATTTAAACTATATGAACAATGTTTTAATCTTATCTTGTTTATTAAATGCCTTGTCATTATTATTCTTTTATCAAAATAATTTAATTATTAATAACTACTTTATTAATTATTAATTACAATAAATGCTGATAATAATAAAGGTTATTTGACAAATTACTAAATTTTCATTATAAAATCAACAAGCTGGACATTCACAAAAAAAAATATGGCAGGATATCTTTAAGGTTATTCTTGGTTTAAAATATTCTTTTTTATTTTCAGTAACTTCAGAACTGCCACAATATATGCAATATTGTTTCTTTATCTACATTAACAATCTTCCTGATAATATTATTATAGTTGCTTCAATCAAAAGAGGCATCTATATTTTATAATGGTGTTATTTAGAGTTGCACAAAAAACAGTTTGTTTGTTTTTTAAATAAACAGTTGTTTTTGTTTTTTTTGTTTTGCTTTTTATTTTTTTCAACTCTGGTGGTATTGCTATTAATTTAATAGTGGTGGTATTGCTGATAAAATGTTATTTTTTAGCTGTGTTTGGATGATTGGATAAGTTTTATAGGGCAGAGCTGAATCAATTAAAATAGTTGGTTCTGGTTTTGATTTTTCCATAATCTAAAAATATTTGTCTCCTTGTTCTAGTGCTACTTTTTCTGAATACTTTTTAATGTTATTTACAGCGTAGAAACATGTTTTCTAATATGCTATTTCGTAGGGTTTATTTCTAGAATGCTTTTCTTTAATAATTCATTTACACATCCTAGTGATAAGGAACTTTCTGGAGACATTAAAACAGTCTCTGTGAGTTCTACACAGTTGACCAGATTGTTGACCAAGGAGAATAAAAAGTTGACCAAGGAGAATAAAAAAAGTTTAAACTTTTATACTGATCTCTGGTTGCTTTTTGAAGATTTATTTTGTTGTCCTTTTTTTGTCAGAAGAACTTCATGACACTAATGTAAAAACTGTTTTGAAACAAATCAAATTTGCCATAATTTTGTCTAAAAAGCATATATAGATTTTTTTTTTCTTTATTCTATGTTATAAAATATTTTTATTTTAAATTGAACTAGAAGATATTTAACTGAATAAAAATTGATCAACAAAAAATAACAGTAAACAATATCAAATGATGACAATGTATGCTTAAGCATTGACATGTCATATAGATCCTGTTGCAAATTAAATTGTGAAACGCATACATAGAAATATATGTGTTATGACAGCCTAGACTAATATATTTTATTTCAAATCATTTTCATCAAGTTGATAGTAAAAATATATCTAGTTCAGCTTTAGAAGAGTTCACAGACAGCATTTACCATATCAATTGGTAAAGCATTTTATTCATTCACAGTACAATTATTGAAGAAGCCTTGTTGAAATGAAGAATGGTTGATTTTTTCTTTTTCGATTCTAAGATTATGACCTCTTACTGCTGATTAGAGATGTCCCAAGTACCCAATTCGGTCCCAGTGTTTCTGCAGTTTTACTGGATCCACGCTGAGCATCTGGCACATCTATATATTAAAGTTTCATGAATCAATCATTTTCATTAAACCATTGTTCAATAGCTTGTTAGTAAAGGGATAGTGAGACCACCCCTAAAAATAAAAATGAAGGGATAGTAAGACCACCCCTAAAAATAAAAATGAAGGGGTAGTGAGACCATTTTAGATCTATGATATTTGGCTTGTTAACTTAAATTTGTTTTTTAAGGGAGAGGTGGTTTTGAGACATGATTTTCAAAGTAAATTTAAGTTTAATCATTTTTAGTAAATAGTAATCAAAACTTTATATATATTTTTAAAATCAGAATGGTCTAATATAAATCTAGTTTCTTTATTTTATTATTATTAATTTTTTATTATTCATGTCCCGAAGGTCGAGAGGGCCACTTCAGTCTAAGAGACTGCTTTATTATGACCCTCTCTTAACTCTTTAAATCCAAAACACTAACCTTAACGAACAAGGCCACTGTGCAGAGAAATAAGTTGAGCTAGAAACTTAGAATTTCTTTATGTTAAATGCTTGCAAGGTGGTCTTGAGTAACAAAAAAAACATTTTGGTTATGTTAAAAGTCAAACTTTTCTATCTATATAAAAGTTCTAAACTGACTTAGTACTTTATCTTATTTAAAATCGCCTTTAATGATTTTTTTGAAGAAGTTGTATCTTAACAACTTTGAAAAATGAATAACTTATAAATCTTTGAAACTTTGAAACTTCTTAAAATTAAAGCCTCAATTGTTCAGGTTTTTCTTCTAACAAAGTTTGAAGCTGAAAATTTGAAACAAAAAATTTTATTAAACAGTAAAATTAAATTTTCAAGAATCATTATTTTTTGTAAGAAGTATTATTACTGATGTTTGAAAGTGTTTACAATATGTATGCAAATTGTATTAAATATAAAATGCTATAATAGTTATATCAATATAAGCAACATTATATTTTTATTGGTTACATTTACCTTTGGTCATTTATTGGTAACCAAAAGTAAATGAACATTTGGACAAAGAAATTTTTTTATTAAGGAGCAAAACTATGAATAAACTATGAGTAAAAAATATAATGAAAAAAAAATTTAAGTTATTGAGAAATATTATTAAAAATATAATGAATCAACAAGTAATTTACCTCTATAAATGTATTATAAAGGAGTTTTTAATCAAAAGTTAATATAAACCAATTGAAAATTGGTAAAAGTTAAATAAACAATCTAAATCAAGTATGGTACTATGTTAATTTCAGTTTTCCAGAAAAAAAGCAGAAAAAATGAAACTCAAAGCATAATTATTATGTTATAAGTTCATAATTGGTTTTGAGCATGTATTAATAATATTTATTTATCAACTCGCTTCCCTATTTATTAGCTTATTTATCTTTTACTTTTAGGGTTTTGGGTTAGGGTTAGGTTTAGCAAAATCTTTTATCTTTAACTTTTAACTTTTACTAACGATTACTTAGAGAGAAAAAAATTTTTTTTTCGAAAAAAATTTACGTTGTCTAAGAAAAAAATCATAACTTGTTTTAAAATTAATGAAAATGTTGGTATAAATATGTTGATAATATATAAAATAAAATATGATAAAATATGATAAATATGTTGCAAGTTTTATTTACAAAAATTTATTTTTAAATTTTATTTTAATATCTTTAGAATCAGCTAAATGATGAAATTGAAGATGTAACACAACAACAAGCAACATGGGAAACTGATATTGAAAGTTTTAATGACAACGAAAGTGATGATGAAAGTGAAACAGCTTTAGAAATGGATAGGGCAAAAGGAGTACAAAATGGTCTTATCAGATACAAAGAGTATACTATGTATGTTTTTTTAATATAACTTTGACTATAGTTTTTTTAGAAAATTTGATTTAATTTACTTTTTTAAATGAATAACCTTTTTTTTTTTATTATTATTATTTTTATCCAAACAAGCTTTTTTTTACATATACATCTTTTAATATGCTTTTGTTTTCGTTAGTTTGGCGCGACGCGTTGATCGACTTGAACATAATATTGGAAGCATTGTTTCCAAACTTGATTCTTTGTTCGTAAAGCTGGAAACCATGGATCAAGCTAAGAAGCAACGTAGAGAAACAATGAAACAACTCTTAGATATTATTGAGAAGCAAAATCTTCCTGGTTTAACTGAAACTTTAAAAATTTAATTTCTTCAAAAGTCTCATATTTGAAAATTACTTCATTTTTTTGTTTAAATTTTTTTTTTTTTCACATAAAGTTTGCTTTGTATATTCTAGATACTGTTTGTAACTGTCACTTGTAAATATTACGTGACAATGGTATGCCCTGAAGTAGTTTTTATGAACGTCCTTTAGTTAGAGAAGGAAGAATTTAATTTCACGAAAAATTAAACTTATCATTGAATTTTAGATTAAGTTTATTGTTTTTAAATTCTTTTTCATTTATTAGTTGTTTTTAAATACATTTGTAGAAATTAAAAAGAAATTTAATAGTTGTGTACTATTTTTTTTTTTTATGTGCACGCCACTGCTGCCTTTCGTTTTGGCAATTCATATATATTTTTAGGTATTGCTGAATATGTTTATAGTATTGCATCTTAGTTTTCTTTTATGTGTATATTATAAAATCCTGATGTAAATGTTTTATCTGTAGTTTATTTATTTATTTTTTTTTGCGTGGCAGATTTCGTTCAAATTAAAAAAAAATTTGTTCCACAAAATTTTCGATATATTTCGATACCAAAACTTTTTTCCGTAAAATATTTTTTTTTATAGTTTTAAATATTAACTACATAAGAGAAATATAAACATTAACCAAAGTTATTTATTATTATTTGTTAATTAACATACCAGGTTTCTTAATGCTAGCAACAGTTACCCTTTACCCTTTTACACTGCAAACTGTTGTTCTTCTACAAAAAACAAAAAGATCTAATCAGGGTTCATACAAGTCCTGGAAAATCTTGAAATTTCAAAATAGTCCTGGAAAATTATGGATTTTTTTAGCTAGTTATGTTGGAAACGTACTATAAATTTCCATAATATTAGTAAATTTGTTTTGGATCTTCCTTTTTTTAAAAAATAATTGTATTTATAGAAAAAAAAGGGTAGATTTTATTGTTTTCAATAACAATTTCTATATGAGTGGTTCTCGAAAATCTTGCTTATTCTCTATAAAGTGAATAAACAAGACATATATACTACTTATAAAGTAGCACAATTTTATGAAGCCGATAAGTCTGCTGATAGACTAATTATGAAGAGATATGAAACTACGGAATACAGAATACAAAAAGATTCGAAAGAAATCAGGAAGACCACGTAAAACATCATATTATCAAGATAAAACATTCTTGATACAAAGTAGCAAAAAAACTCATTTGACCGCTATTGATTTAAATGAGCAAAGGAAACATTTTTATGGAATGAATTGTAATAAAACGTTGGTTGTGGCATGCAAATTTGTTTGGAAGACGCTTAAAAGCCATCTATTTATCTGGAAAACTAACACGTCTGAACAGGATTAGCATTATAGCATTTAAACATTGATGCATTTAAACCTCATGCGAAGTAAAAAAAATTTCGCGTGGATGTGTTTAACATAGGGAAAACGTTCTCCTAAATACACGGGCAAACCAATTCATGAATTCTTCAAAAAGAGTAAATTCGTGCTTTGAAGTTGATCAAATCATGGAAGTATAAAACAGATGGAAGTTCAACAGCATTGAAATTCTTTGGGGCTATACTTGTAACCTTTTGCTTCGTAAACAAAAAGAAAACGACATCAAGACTGTACTTCAATGCTTAATCTTTATGCGTTGACGCAAATACAGTAGGTAGTTTATAATAATTGTAGGTACGTTTATTTATAAGTTTAGTATTTTGAAAGTTCGCCAAGAAAAATATTAAAAATGGCGCAACGAAATGGCAAACAACAACTTTTTTATAAACTATATATTAAATAAATTGAGTACTGCAAGAATGAATAGAATTATGATATATAGCTAATAAAAAATTAAACTTTAGTTATTTAGAAAACAATTTTTTTGATTTTTTAAAAATTGTTTTAGTTATCTTTTTAATAAAATGTCGTGTCATAACTTGAAGCAAGAACAGAAGCTTAAAATAACATATGCTTTTAAAATCAAGTGGTTCTATTTAATAACAGAGTTTTAATAAATCTTTTGCTGAGTAATTGCAGTTACTAATGGTTAAAACTTTGAAGCATATCTCTAGAATAATTCATTTTTTAATGGTTTAATAAAAATTATTTCAGTGCTTTTGAAACAGTAGATCATTCTATTCTAATCAAGAAATTAGAATATTATGGAATCAGAGGAATACCTCTTAAATGGTTTACTTCCTATCTTCACAACAGATCTCAGTTTGTCTCAGTCAATGACTCAAAATCTACTCAAATAAATTGTTCCAACGGTGTCCCTCAAGACTCAGTATTAGGACCACTACTTTTTCTTCTTTATATTAATGACCTTAATAACTCAATTAAGTTTGTAACTCCTTATCACTTTATGATAATACTAACTTGCTCATTATCGACGAATCTTTTAAAAAAATTAACAAATATATTAATCATGATTTTGCCAATTTAGTTCAATTTAGGCTTCGCTCAAATAAGCTTTCTCTCAACTATAGCAAAACTGAACTGGTCATATTCAAATCTAATAAAGCAAAAATCAATAAAAATTTAAACTTTAGATTAAGTGGCCAGAAAATCATTCTTGTAAACTCTATCAAACATCTTGGAATTATAATTGATTCCAACCTATTGTTTGTGTCCCATCTTAAAGACTCAGCCTTAAAATTGAGCAGATCAAATGGAATGCTGGCAAAAGTTCGCCATTGTGTCAATCTGGAAACACAATTATATATATATATCATGCCATTTTTTGGCTTACATATACGATATGCTTATTTTCTTACTGAAATATAAAGTTTCCATCTTAAAAGTGATGTGTTATACTTGGTTTTAACTGGTGAACTAAAATATATTGGTACCTATGTTGGTCCATGATTCCTTCAACTCTGTACAGGTTGCCCACTCTATGAGCAGCAAATGAACCCCAAAACATGATTTTTTTTTGTCATGTTTTACTGTGGTACCTGTGAACTTTGGATTATATGGCTCTTCTTTTTTACTATATTGTAGAACAAATGGTGACTCATCAGTTCATATGATACATTTCCATTGATCTAAAGTCCAGTTTAAATGATCTCTGCACCATTTTAATATCTTAACAAAATTTTTCTCGTTTATAAAAATTTTTTTCTTTGCCACCCTAGAGTAAACTTTTTACCATTATTCTTGCAACAATTGTATTGTTACATAAGTCTTCAAGGTTTAAATTTTGCTTTGTCTGACTCACTGATATCCTACAGTTCTTCATCACTTCCCTCACAATCAACCGATTTTCTCTTTCTGTCAATTTTCGCTCTCTTCCCGAACCTGACTTTCAGCTAATTGAATTTTAAGAAATCGATTTGGATACAACTCCAGATCGATTTCTCAACAAACGTGTTTTTTCCTAGATTGGTAAATATGAGTTTTAGCTGATAAACAAATATAGTTAAAACTAAATGCTAAGACACTATAAGTACGAATGCCTTATACCTAATCAATGGTTGGACTTTTGTAGAAGTAGAACCAAAAGCATCTAACTTTGCCATTTTATTATATTTTCTTACATATATAAAATTGCTAAAAAATTTAATTCAGATAAAATCATATAAAATTTTTGCATGGTAAACCCAAAAAATTGTCATGCCAGCAAATATGTCCCTGAAATTGTTTATCCGATTTGAAGAATTCCTTTAATGTTAAAAAGAAAACTACAAATTTAAAAGAACCAAATGCCAGAGTAAAAATAAATTTACCAATCAAGCGCTGAATTTTTACAAAAACATGTTCCCAATATGTCGGAGAAATAGTCTGAAACAAATATCACAGAATATAACAGTTTTCAATGGTGTTTTTTGAATTTACATGTTAATTGGGCAGATTTTTAAAAGTGTGTTGAATTTTTATTATATTTTACAGTAAATAGCACTGTAAAATTTAATCTATTTAATATTGCTGAACTTAATAGTAGTAGTGCCCTTTCGAGCGTGTTTGACTCAAAACGCTTGGCAGCCATTGCAACCGAGGTAATAGCGAGAAAAAGTGTTTTATAATAACATGTGAACGAAAGTGTATGCAAATATCTATCGTACGTAAACTTCTTTAACGTACGTCATGATTGAGATACATATGTTTGTTTAGTTTTACATTTCAAGTTTTCCTACAATTGAGTTAAGTTTGAGCATGCAAAACGAGTATAAAACATGTTTATATATAGAATATAAAATCTATAGAACTATAAAGTTGTTTTATTTTGCATTTTAAATAACAAACATTTTTTGAAAAAGTAAGCTGATGATTTGAACTAGCCACGCGGCGACCCTAACTTTTTTAAACAGTAAAAAAGTTTATAAGGTTTAAAAAGTATGTTTTTAATATGAACATAATTGAAAATTTTAATTTTATATTTAAATTAAACCATTTTACTAAATTTATTATTTTTAAAAATAATTAAAAGTTTAAGTTATTTAATATTGATATAGTAAGAAGATTTACAGCTATTTTACCACGCCCTTATTAAACATATAAACCGAGTCCGCAACAACAACAGAAAATAGATAACTATCAAAATTGTATTAAACTCTATTATTTTTTTGCTTAAATTTTATATTAGAGATCGTCTATAAATTACGCAACGCTAAATTTTACTAATGAACAAAACAAAAAAGATCAAAAGTTTTCTTTCGCAGAGTCATAAGATAAATAAAAAATTAAAACAGCTTATTAAGTTTAATGAAAATTGCCACCTAAAAAAACTAAAGATCTCCTTTTTTAAAAAAAATAAGTTTAGCATTGCGTAATTTATGGACAATCTCTTAGCATTTTATAGTCTATAGTTTTTAATGGTCTAAGATCTTCTTAGTTCTGGCATTTGTATAGCGTTGCCTGCAAACGTCTGTAAGTGTAAACGTCTTTATCATATGGTGAGTTTGCAGGCAGTATGTAGAACAGTTGTGTATTATAAATCTATAAAAATGAAATAATTTTTGATTTTATTTTAACATTTAGAAATCGTTTTAGCTATATTAAAATTTTTTTGCTATAAATATGATTGTTATAGATATAACTATAATAAAAATTTTGATATAAATATTGCTATAAATGCAGCAAAGTTAAAAAATATTCAAAATTTATAAGGTCTTTAATCCCCCAAAACGACACTAAACATGACAGCGCACTGAACTACTGAGCTATTAATGATATGCGTTTAGGAGAAAAAAAAAACATATTATAAAGTACTAGGTACGCGGAAAAGTTGCGCATGTTAATTTTTTTGCTCTTAAAGCAATTTTTAAAAATGATTTGTTTTACGTAAAAATATTGAAGTAAACAAATAATAGGTATAGAAATCATCCGTGTGGAACAGATAAGTATAGAAATGGTAGGTTTGGTAAAGACCCGTATTTTATGGGTTTGGAAAGTTATGATCCTTATAAATATAAGGAAAAAGTATAGAAAAGGTCAGTGTGGAATACAAAGACTCGTATTTTTACAGGTTGGCTAGTATGAATTAATATCACA